ATTAACTTAATTAATTAACTAATTAATTAACTTAATTAATTAACTAATTAATTAACTTAATTAATTAACTAATTAATTAACTTAATTAATTAACTAATTAATTAACTTAATTAATTAACTTAACTACCACAGAAGTTGTCAAGGATTTCATTTTACTTGGATCCAATATCAACACCCATGGTAGCAGCAGTCAAGAAATCAAATGACATATTTCATTGAGCAGATCTGCTATAGAAAACCTCTTTAAAGTGTTTAACAATAAATATGTCATGTTGAGGACTAAGGTGTGCTTGACTTAAGCCATGGTATTTTCAGTCACCTCATGTGCTTGTGAAAGGTAGACAATGAATAAGGAAGACTGAAGAAGAAGTGATGCCTTTGAATTTTGGTATTGGCAAGAATATTGACTATATCATGGACTGCAAAAACAACAGACAAATATATCTTAGAAGAAGTACAGTCAAACACTCATTACAAGCAAAGATGATGAGACTTTGTCTCATGTATTTTGGACATGTTTTCAGGAGGGACTAGTCTCTGGAGAAGGATATCAGGCTTGGTAAAATAAAGGTTCAGGGAAGAAGAGGAAAACCCTCAGTGAAATGGGTTGATATAGTGGCTGCAACTATGGACTCAAACATGGTGACAGTTGTGAGGATGTCACAGTGTTTAATTCTGTTATACATATGGTCACTATGAATTGGAACCGACTTAATGACACCTTAGAACAGCAGCAGCAATGTAGTTAGGAAAATGCAAAAAGTTTCCTAATTGTCTGGCTTGGTAATAGTCACCCACTGTGTGGGTGTGTGGGTGTGTGTATATAATATATATGTGTATGTATATATACGTGTGTGTGTGTGTGTGTGTGTATACATACATACACCCTTTCCCAATTGTTCCTTCTTTTCCATTTCTTGGCTTTTTCCTAACTCTCTGTAAAATACAAGTGCCTGAATTACCTCTGACCATAGGAATTCTGCCAGCCCTGTAGTATTTGGATCAGAACCTAGCTCCTGTAGGAAGTCTTCATTCATCTCACTGACTTTGCTTTAATTCTCATTTTTCACAGACCTTCATATGGGCCCACAATTATGTTGTTTCCGTATTCTGTGTGAATCTCCATGTGCATTTGTGTGTGTTTTGTAATCTGTGTGCCTGTGTATTTCCCCACTGTATTATAAATAAGTATAGCACAGGCCTGAGTGTTTATAGTATACTGTTTGACTTTGTATGATTTATATTTTGTGGCGGACTGAGTCTTAAACCCCTCGATGCGTTGCTGGTGAAGTGGTATACTGTTCAGGAGTAAAGCCTTGTAAAGAACTGAAAAGATGCTCTCCAGAGCCTATTTATATTCACTACTGGGCACACTATTTTATTGATTGTTTTGTTTGCCATTGTTAATATTAAGTAACTTCTTAAAGTAAATCTTAGAAGTACAAAAATGCTAACATCTTAATAATTGAAAACATCCTTAAGTTAAACTAACTTTTCTTTCAGCTGACTGTATTCACAGCCTTGATAGATGTTACCAAAGGTCAATTAGAAACGTACCTACGGGATTGCCCGGACCCTTGTATAGGTTGGTGAGCATCTGGCCTACAGGATGTGCTCTGTGACATGAAGATGCTGATCTCACACATGGCTTACAGTGCAGCCAGCGGATCTTCTTCCAGATATTCCTCTGACTCAGGCAGGTTCTCTCTGAGGCATTAGCTTGCCTCAGAATGTTCACAAGTCATGTTTTTGGCTGTGATTGTTGATTGTTCTGAGTTACACATAACATCTTTAAGTGAAGTACAATGATCATCTAGAATTAATATGCTGAGTGATTTTAACATTATCAGAGGGTTCAGAGTGGGCAGATAAACTATTGTGTGGCCCACGTCCACTAAGTAAAATGAGATCCTCTGTGAGCATTTAATACAGTTTATCTGTATGGAAAATAGTAAAAGTAAATAGTGCACTATTGTTTTTTACTTCTGCTGATATATTTGTATGCTTTTGTGTATAGCCGTTTTGTCCCTCTGGTTCTAACCCTTATTAAAATTAATATACTGTTGTCTTTGCTATTTGTGACCATAGTATAATTTCACTTTTGATTGGGGAGAGATGAAAAAGAGATATTCAACTGTATATTCCTCTAAATGAGCAATAAATGGGCCTTGTCTTTGCTAGTGGAAGTACTTTGGGGGTTCATAAATAAGTCAGTTTGCATGGGAGCCTTTTATGCCCCAAACTGAAGTGTTCCCTTTTTCATACTTACTCTACCTCCCAGTAACCCCAAGAAGTTGTTAACTTTAAAAACTAAGTCCTGGATTCTATGAATTAATAGTAAACAAACGGATCAAAGACATAGAAAATGGAAGGTGAACCCATATTTAATATTCTTATAATTTTTTAAGTGAATAGATTTTTAGTTTTTCTTATATATATTTAAACCTCTTAAGTATAGTCACTGAAAATGTTCTTCAGAAATCAGAATCAGTAATACTTATTAATAGCCTTTCTAATGTTTACAATTAACTGTGAAATATTTGCAAATGGAGCAAGACTGTAACCACCTCATTATTGTGTAATGTCACTTGTAGTCACGGCACTCAATAAACAGTCACTGGAAATGGTGTCTTCATCAGTCATATATGACAATTGGGTTTATATTATTCACTGGTTGGAGTGTAGTTGGTTATTATGGAAAAATAGGAGCTGAGCATAACTATTTGAATTAAATAACAAGGGTTATGTAATTATTAAACTTATGACTGACTGGTCACGATCTTACATGACTAATCATCTTAACTCAGTAGTATCAACCCAATTTGCAGGTTCCAAAGGCAACATTTCCTCCAGATCAGAGATGCTTGCACACAACTAAAGTGATTCTAACACTATCTTAGCATGAAGCAAGAGGAATTACAGTAGAATTTGTGTTAAAATAGGATTTTATTTTTTATTAAAAAAATCTGTACTTGGATTTTGTACCTTGTTTAAAACTCAAGTGAGGTAAACTTGATTTTATTTTACTTTTTAAACGTAGTAGCCTTTGATATGCCTGATAATAAAGAGGTAAGGCAACAGTTGTTTCAGATGATTCCTCAGGTCTAAATCAAAGAGTTTGGAAGAAATAACAACTGCTATTAAAATTTTAGATGGTCTTGTTTAGTGAGGGAAAGAGCAGATTATAAAATAGAATATTCAATATAAGTTTATTTAACATTTTATACATAGACTTATACATAACTAAATATACTTGTTGAATATAAAAAGATAACAAGAGGGTATTAACCAAAATGTTGACAGTGTTTCTCTCTGGATAGTGGTATTATTTTGGGACAAATAAACTCAACATCCATTGACATTAATCAGAGTATGTTGTTACAAATACTGGACAAAATTAAGATCCAAGTTGGATCCAAACAATGGACTATAATTCCCACCTGTCCCCAACCTCATTTTAGGAAATCGTATTTAAAATTGAGGACTGACTCATACCTGTGTTCCTTCATACATGTAGCTTCCAAGATAATTTATTGTAGTAATAACTACACGGAAGGGGACATTCTGAGTTGCCTTTCTTGGTAACCCACAAATGAACCTTGCCCTTAGGACCAGTTAGAACCTCAGTCTTACTGTGGCTATGTATTGGCCTGGCTCCTTGGATGGGATATGAATGTGGAATGATGCTTTTTCTGAGTCATCTTGACTGAAAACCCACCCCCAATAGTGGCTGTTGGCCTATTAGCACATCCCTCCTCTCTTGCCCTGAGCACATGTATTATTTCCCAGGTGTTATTTAGCCAGACTTATGTATTGTATGACACCAGGCCAACCCCACTTCATATCTGTTCTCAGTGTGGAGGGTGTGGGGAACTTCTGCAACACAAGAGAGGCAGACCATTTTCCCATGTTGGCTGCTGGCAAGAGTAACTCACTGTCCATGGATGACTGATGCCGGCCACACTATTAAGCTGATCTTGCTTTGTCTCTTCTCTATGGGTGTAAAGCATTGTTCCATCCAATGCCTGTGCATAAATCATGTCTGTCTTGGCCACACCCTTACACCTGCTCACACCCTTTCCCGCCTCCCCCCCCCCGGGGGTGGTAACAAATGTTACTCGTTCATCACTATTACTTAATCAGAATTTATTATGTAGCAGGTCTTGTACTCAATACTTTGCATACATACATTTTATCTTCTCCCCAAACCCCAGTTATACTTGAAATCCTGCTTGCTCATGAGAGTAAAGTTAAGTAATTTGCTCAAAGTCACGTGGACAGTGTTAGAGCCACAAATTAGGCCAGCTCTGTCCAGCTCTCCTCCTCTTAACCATGACCCTTTAATTTTTAGCCTTTCAAATAGGATTGAACACAGTTTTGACATTTGAGATCCACACTTAAGCTGGAGGTAACCCAAGTCGTTGTGCTGCGTCTGGATACCACTTCTGCACTGTTGTCTTACACTAGCTCTCTCAGAATAATCTGATTTTCCATAGGGATTAGAAACCTTTTGGGTTTAGGAATTTGGTGGTAATCTAACAGATCATTTGTCTTCACTACCCCAAGTGTAAATAGTGCTCAGATAGTGAGAATTCACAGTGAGAACTTTAGTCTTACTGTGGCTATGACCCTGCACCACATTTAAAGTACAAAGAGTTACCTTGAAATTATTTAAATCACTGAGTGAAAAAGCTCTAAAAATCACCATTGAAGTTAGTCCCACATAGAATGGGGAACAACTTTGTTAATTTATTTGAATTTGTAAAATATTCAGCCTAGCATTATATGACAACTGTGACAAGCCGTCCCCAAACTACAGTCTGCTACACACCATCCTGTCTGCCACACTGGGCGAGGAGCTCAACCAAACTGGTGGCCTCAATCTGTAGAGTGTTTGAGCTCAAGGAGATCAGGCCATTCTCCCTAGATTTCTTTCCCCTTATATTGGGAAAGCAGAGTTTCCCAAGCACGTGCCACAGGAGATACTTGTGGGTTGTGGGGACAATTCTCCATGGCACTTCTATACATCTTGTGACAACTTTTGTTCCAGACTATCTTTGCAAGGACACTTTTCTAGCAAACGGCCTTGAAAGATAGTGGTGGTGTCTCCCTCTGGAGCAGAGTGCAGATGTGTTTCCTGACTAGGATAATAAAGGTCATGTCTCTTTGTGGGGCAAAGGTTGGACAGGTTTGCTGGTGTAGCAGCCCCCTTCTAGGATCAGGAGTTCCCAAAACTCAGGCTTCCACAGTTATAATATAGCACCATTTAGCTGTTCCACTGCATTCTTGGGTCACAGGGGTAAGGGGAACTGTTGCAAACATGACACTCGTGCTGTTTGGTATTCTGCAGTAATACAGGTCCTTTCCCTCAGACCCAAGAATCCACTAGCATCTGTGAAACTGTGCCAGGCTGACTTGTTAGCTTGCTAGTTGGTGTAGCTGCTGTTGAGTTGGCTCTGACTCATGGTGAACCCATGGACAACAGAACAAAATGCTGCCCGATCCCATACCATTCTCTTGATCACTGGCATGCTTGAGTCCATTGTTGCCTTCCAACCTAGGGGGCACATCTTCCAGCATTATTATATTGGACAATATTCTGAGGGCTCTTGTTTTTTTTTTTTTCACCAGGCCCCAAACCTGTTATTGGCCCTGTCCTTCATTGGCAGCTAAACATCAAGAACTTGTTGCTCCAAACAGAATTTCAAATTCTCCAGGGCTCTAGACTTCCTGGAGTCATGGAGACTGGATAAAACTATTGCCCTGAGATAATCTTTAAACCTTACACCAAAAATATCCCCTGAAGTCTTACTAAAACAAAACAATAGCTTAACATAACTAGTAAAAAAAAAAAAAAAAAAAAGTCTGCCATGAGCACTCTGCTCCTTTAAGATCTACGTAAAGGGGATCAAATTGACAATAGTAACTCAAAAGATTAGACAAGAACTTTAGAGGACAGTGAGTTTATGTAAAAGGGGAGGAACAACTCAGAAAAGGAGGGTGACAATGGTTGCATGACTGGAAGAATGTCATCAACGTCACTGAATTGTACAATGTAGAAACTGTTGAATTGTTGTATTTTGCTGTGTATATTCTCAACAACAACAACAAAAGAACTTGTTGCTCCTCTGGATGAATGAGACAAAGCGAGTGCCCGAGCACCTGGCCTTCTGCAGACTTCCCACTGCCTGTATGGATAAGAGGAGCTTTGGCCGTGTAGTGCCTAAAGCATTTGACTGCTAACCAGAAGGCTGGTGGTTCAGGCCTACTAGCATCTTCTCAGAAGGAAGAAGGCTGGCAGTTCAAACCCACCAGCCACTCTTTGGAAGGAAGGTTGGGCAATCTACTTTCGTAGTGATACTGCCTCGGAAACCCAAGGAGGGGTTGCTATGAGTCAGATCCAACTCGACAGCAATGGATTTGGTTTTCTTGGTTATACCTAATACCTAAAGATTGACTCTGTCGTTGTCATTAGAGTATTAAGTTTATTAAGTATAGAAAATGGGGCCTCATCATTTGGGTTTAGTTCTGTTTTTCTAATTTTTAAATTTACAGGTGTTGGGTGGAATAAATGTATAAAATTTTCAGCTTAATTGCCTCTGAGTCTGAAAGGAACCCT